CCTGCTCACGCTGTCTCTCTCTCTCATAGAAATAAAAAAAAAAAAAAAAAAAGAGATGCAATCTAGTTCATGAGCAAGACCAGTTTGTGGGTGAGAAATTCAGTCACTATGGCAATTGGGTATCTCAAAGAGTGCTAAAATGGAGATAATAACTGTAACACTTTAGTGAAAGGAGTACAGCTCATTCAATTGTAAAATTAGGGTCTATTTTTTTTGTCTAAGGGAAGCCAGTTGACTATGCATGAAATCTAGAATAAGGTGACATTTGCTTTGTAAATTTACCAAATCCTGAATCTATTTGTTTCTCAGAAACAGTATCCCAGAGCTTATTAGACAGGGGAAAAATTACTCTGACAAAGCTCACAAAATCCTGGTTTATCAAACCAATTTGCTGATTCATTAATATCTAGTGAGAAAGAAAAAATAAACAAACACTTATGGGTCCGGCTGACCAGCTATTGTCTCCCTGTACCTACATTACAAGCCATACCAGAAGAAGATCTAATGAACTTGGAAGTTATGTGGTTTTCCTCTGCCCCCCTTCCCTCTATCTTCATTTTCTGCCCTTCTTTGCCTTGCACTATGTCCAGAGAGATTAGCCCCTATGACCCACACACACGCCCCTATCCTCCTTGCCAGAGGCTTCAGTTTGAGTTCAGCTATTGAGAGGCACCAGGAGGAAATTAGAGGGTGGGGAAAGAGAAACGTTGGGATGTTTCTTCCTTGCTTTCTCCTTGCTTGGTTCCACTTCTCTTGGCAGGACCCTCGTCTCTCAAGACCACTGGGATTCTCATCATCTATGCTCCAACTCCACCGACTGGGCCCTGAGCCTGGAAACACCCCTTCCTCTCCCTTGTGTCTTCAGCCTCCAGATAGGTGATAGTTTCCAGTTGTTGCTAGTCTCTGTGGACCGCCTCAGTATCCACTGTCTGTAGCGTCTGTGGACCGCCTCAGAATCCGCTGTTTGTTTGTAGTGTCTGTGGACCGCCTCAGTATCCACTGTTAGTAGTGGCTGTGGACTGCCTCAGTATCCACTGTTTGTTCCCTCAACCTGACCACACCTCTGTAAGTCTCTTCATTAGAATGATCTGGGCTGAACTGTCCTGCAGTTTGAATGAGTCAGTACAGTGTGTGTGAAACACTGAATATTTTCATTTTCTACTTAGGTTGACCAATCATCGCAACTTGCACAGGACTGAGGTGGGATTTAGGATTTTCTGTTTTTCTATCAGGATGAGTTGGCCATTCTAATCCTACCTAACTTTGACATATCTGTTTACCACACCCATATACTTACTTATTTAATTTTTTTCTTGAAGTTCATTCGTTTTGTTACCTAAAGTTTATTTTAAAACAAACTTTAAATCACTTCCTTAAATGGAAAACTAATATAACTTGCCTCTGATTGGTTTGACAAAACATATTATAGAAACAAAAATAAATGGAAACCAAGCAACAATATTAAATTTAACTAGAAGTTATGATTTGCAAAGGACCTGAGTGCAAGTCCTGTTCTCTCTCTGTCTAAAAGGGAGATTGATGTTAAGGGAATTAAAGACATACTAAAGCTAAACTTTCTGCTTAGTATCAGAATGTCTCATAGAAAACTGTAAGTGGATAACTTTCACCATATGAGTCTATGTTATTTAAGGATGTGCATGTATTACCTACATCATCTTGTCTGTGCCCTATGATATGTGCTTTATCCCTAAGGAAATAATGATGTAGTGGATATTCAAACATGTAACAAAATCAGGCTCTACCACTCTGCTGTCTCAGTATCCACAGTAGATGTAACCAAACAGACAAACTGGGTGCTTACATGATTATGACTGATCTCACCCTTTACCCTGGATGGTGCTGGGATGGACATCATCACCAGAGATGCTTCTGACTTTGTTCCTATGATTCCAAGCCCTATTCTAATGGACAAACTGTTTTCTTTGAATAGAACAATCCATTTTTTATAACAATTTTTTAATGTTTTTTATTTATTTCTGAGCAAAAGAGACAGCGTGAACAGGGGAGGGTCAGAGAGAGACAAAGACACAGAATCTGAAACAGGCTCCAGGCTCTGAGCTGGCTGTCAGCACAGAGCCTGATGCAGGGCTTGAACCCATGAACTGTGAGATCATGACCTGAGCTGAAGTCTGATGCTTAACTGACTGAGCCACCCAGGCGCCCCTAGAACAATCCTTTTATCAGGAAATAGCCAAAGTTAGGTTGCCTCAGTTGGCAGAACATGCAACTCTTGATCTCAGGCTCATGAGTTCTAGCCACACGTTGGGTGTATAGATTACTTAAAAATAAAACATATTTTTAAAAAGGGAAATATCCAAAGCTTTTAAGCCAGGGACAATTTGGTCTCTTTAAAATCACTTTGTGAATCTCTAATCTATTGTGTGTTAATTACACATTTTAACTCTTAAAACATAATCTTATTTCTTTACATTTTATGTTTTTAGAAGCTCACTTACTATTCTATCTGTGTCCTACCTGTAAGTACAAAATACCCAGGCAACTTGTTGAGGTGGGAATGGGTAGGTATATGTGCAGTGACCAGGTCTAGTGTTATAGAAGAGATGACATTAGAGCTCGGGCTACAAAGATTAATTTGCTTTCTTAATATGGAAAGAGGGAGCAAAGTTAAGCTTAGGCAGAAGGAACAGCATGTGTGTGCAAAGGCACAGAATAATGAAAAAATAAAATATATGCAGGGATTGAAAGTAGTTAAATATGGCCCAGGACTGGACTATCAGAGGACACTGAATCAGTAAGAGAACCCAATATTCATATACTAGTAATTAGTATGGCAGATAGGCAGAAGACATCAGGATTTGGAGCCAGATTTGTGCTGCTCTCTCAGCTTCAGAAATTACTCTTTGTATTACCCTCGACAAATTCTTAACATTATACACTTCCATTTCTTCACCTGTAAAATGGGAGATAATAATTCTACCTCTTTCATAGAATTATTATGAGGACTAATGACCTTAGACCAGTGGTTTTCAACTAGGGCTAATTTCCCCCCTAAAGACATAAGTAATGTCTGAAGATACTTTTGATTATCACAACTAGAGGATGAGAGACTGCTACCAACATTTAGTAGGTAAAGAACAAAAATGCTCCTTAATATCCTGCAATGCACAGGACAGCCTTCCACAACAAAGGCTTATTTGGACTAATAATATACTAGTCTGAGGCTGAGAAACCCTGGCTTAACCTAATACCTTGCTAACAGTGTATAGTCAATACATATGGTCCAGAAAGAGAATGAGGAAGAGGAAAAGGGATGATGTTGTACAAAGGAGATGAGTTCACTGCAGCTGCTTTCTTTTTAGGTGACTACCAAGCCATCATGACCCACTGTCATCAAATACATCCCTAGTCCCAACCACTAGCTATCTTTCTACATGGACAGTTAGTTACAGGGTGACTAATAAGAACTATAGAATGGTGGTCCCTGGAAGTGTACTCAAGTACCTGATCACAATAAAGTTTTATAAAACAGGGAGAGTGACCAAGCCTCCCTACAACTCTGACACATGGCCAGCATCTTCCGTCCAATAGGCAACTATCTCAGGCCTGAGAACAGCAAATGGCAAGACTCAGTAACTAAGGTTGGCAGTTCATTCTGTCCACTAGCCTTGAAATAGTGAATCATCACAACTCAGGTCTAATAGACCAGGTGTGTATTTAAAAGGACCTCAGCACACTATTTTAACAAGTCTTGCATATAAAACCCAGGAAGCCGAAAGCCTTCTGATGATCCTTCAATCCAGACGATGGTGTGGCAAAGCTAAGAAAGGCCAGGGACAGAAACAGAAGATGCCCTGATGAGTGTATAGTCTCAGTGATAGTGAAGCCTTTTTCAAGTGAAGTGTCAGCTAACCACACTTTGGCAGAACAAAATACAGAAGCAAAGCTCTGCCAACAGAGGCTGGAGCCACAAACCAGAGAGCAATCTGCATGTATACATGATGTGGAAAGAACTGCTTGTCGGATGCTGGTTTTTCTCGGCCACAACACACATGTGGTGGTATCATCTTCAAATTATGAAGGACAGATTGATTCCTGACTACCCAGGCATGCAAGGAACCAATGAAGGATAATGCCCTACATTGACAAGTTAATGTCTCAGCAGGGAAGACTAATTAGGAAACGTGTCATTTAGGATGCTGCCTATACTTCCAGCATCAATTCAAACAATGTCTTTGTTTGAACTGACATCCCAGGATAATGGATAAATGCTGACGCCCTGGAGTCAGATGGAACTGTGTTTGAATACTAGCTCCACAATTTGCTGACTTTGCAATCTAGGAAAAGCTCAGTGGTGATAATGGCAATAATGACAACTGGGGATGATAATAAAGGCAAGTTTGTGGAGTTTTAGTGAGCATTAAATGTAACTCTTCAGGTAGAATTTCTACCATCCCCCCTAGCAGAGCAACTCTTTAGTAAATACAAGCTGTCTTGTGCCCGTCATGGTCCACTTACCTTTTCTTCACATATCATATCCTGTATTTCAGCACAAAGGACACGGGTCCTGTCAGTCATATCGTATGATGACAAGTGTTACAAGTTGGGGTCCAGGGTTCCACATACACACTAAACATAGAAATGTAAACAAAAACTGTGACTGGGGAATCTGTTCATGATACTTCTTAGATGTGGACATAGCCTTTCTTCAGTTTTGATCTATCTATTCAAATGGTTGTCCTTTTCTTTTTCTCATCCACATGGCCACCATTTGGGGAAGAAAAAATATTTCTTTTGAATAATTTCTTCGCCACACACTTTTCTTTCTTTGCCGTGATACTTGTCAACCACCTTAGCAACCATCAGGTAGTGTCAGCAACAGAAGCTCCCCTGGAGGAAGTTTGCCGTCAGTCACCGCCCTCATCCAACCTCAGGAACTGTAATGAGAGAGCAAAGCCATCTTCCATGAAATTCAGAAGAAGCTACACGATCACAACCACACATTAGGACATAAATGCCTTGTCCTCACTTCGACAGCACTTAGACTAAAATTGGAATGATGCAGAGATTAGCATGGCCCCTGCACAAGAACATAATTTGTCCCTGAGACAAATACCTGGTAAAATATAAGTGAGCTTCATAGATAAAGGCAGAGTAGTAATAGGTTAAAATACTGGAATGAGAAAAAAAGAAGCAAAGAAGTGTGGACTTAATTAAATCAACATTTTCCATGATTCTCTTATGACTGAGACCATATCAGTCTTTATTAAAAAATGAAACGTGATGAGAAATGTCAAGAATGTTAACATTTTTTGAGGGCTTACTATGTGCAGGCACCGTTTTTAGTCTTTTATACAAACATTGTTTTATACATAAGATGGAAACGATGCCACCCTCATTTTACAAGACGAAGGAAAGGAAATTTAGAGAGGTGAAGTACCAAAATTGCACAGCTAGGAAGGGGCAGATCTGGGGTAAACTCCAAGCAGTATGAATCCAGAGGCTTCTCTTTCAACCCCTACACTCTAATGCCTCTAAATTAAAGGAAAGGAATATTGTCTATCACACATCATTTAAAATCTAGACAATAACCCATTTCACAAAGTAACATTATGAAATGAAACAATTACTCTCATAATGTAACAATTTAAATGGTTTTGCTTCCAGCCAAAGATTAATGCTGTATTTTAAGCAGAGGAAAGAGAATTTTTTAATTCACTAAATTTGGACAGCCCACAAAACATTCAGAATTTGGTGATTGCTCTTAATGAGTTTTTTTCTTTCAAGAGTTTAATATTTTTACCAAAAAGGAAGATGAGATTTTCTCCAAGTACTCTAACAACTATAAAGGGCTGTCTTAGATTTTTCTAATTTTTCATAGCCTTTTTCTATTTAATTCACAAATTTCCTTTTGCTTCCCCTTCAGTGAATAAACTATAAACTCAATCTTTTTCTAATTGGCTCACAAGCACCATCTAGTGAAGAAGCAGAATAATTACAGAACAGTTCCTGCAAATTATCACAATCTGTACTAATTAAGCCTAAATGAGCACCATTTTACCATTGTTCTAAAACAGAATGAGTTTTGTTAAATGCAAATATTATGGCTAAGGGTAAAAATGTTATGTAATTTAGGGCTCCTGGGTGGCTCAGTCAGGTAAGTTCAGACTCTTGGTTTGAGCTGGGGTCATGATCTCCCTATTCATGAGTTCGAATCCCTGCATCAGGCTCCACACTGACTGTGTTGAGTCTGCTTAGGATTCTCTCTTTCCCTCTCTTTCCACCTCAGGGCACCTTCCCTGCTTGTGTTTGCTCTCTCTCAAAATAAATAAATTAACTTTAAAAAATATTATGTATTTCAAGTTCTGTTGTTCTTTGGAATTTTCAGAAATTGAGACTTAGCTTGCTTTCTATTTCCAGCTCCCATTGGCCTTTCTATGACCAATGACTATGGATCCTCAGACAGCAGAAAGTGACATGTTTCACTGTAGCAATATCCCAGGGTGGTTTTGACATTTCGTTTTCTGAATCTGTATCTGTCCATGCATTACTTTTCTTCCTCGCCTTTTCATTGTCACACTAAAATAATTTTTTAAATATATTCACCTAACCATTTATTGAGGACAATCTCTGCCCTCGAGAAATTCACTGTCCAGCAGATGTAGACATTAGGAAAATAAAGTATTACAGGTGTTATGATAGAGTATAGTGTAGAGTAGAATTCATTCTAATCAGAAGGCTCATATTGAACTGGTACTATTTTGCAATTTCATCAGAGGGAGCACATCTTTATTCTACAGTAGGAGCTCTCTTAGTCAACCTCCATTTACCAACTCACCAGATTAACCAACGCTCTCTACTATGTCTATAAAATGCATTGACTTACACTTACTGCTCACCTATGCTTAGGCTAGAAAGCTACCCTAAAATGTTCATGAATTAGTGTTCCTACCAGCTAAGTTGAATGCTTAACAAGAAGCAATTGGATTTTGTTCCCAAATACATCTTTGCCAGTTTTAGTTGTAGCTACACAATATTAATTACACAATTTCAGTAAATACTACATCAATTGATCAAATATAAGTCCAAAAATTGGTGTTGAATCAGTTGGGAGTGAGACAAATGTAGAAGATTAGGGAGAAACCATACAAATCTAGAATGATTCTGCATTCAAACTGGTTTGAAGGTATTTTTAGATTCTTGCTCTAATTTTTGAAAAAAACAAAAGCAAAAAAAAAAACACAACAAAACCCTGGAAGTCTTAGCTCATGCTTATGGGTATGTTTTATACAAGAAAGACAATACACAGCATTTCTAGGATCTCAAACTTTAAAAGAGGGTGAACTTTAAAATGGGGCGCCTGGGTGGCCCAGTCAGTTAAGTATCTAACTTTGGCTCAGATCATGATCTCACAGTTCATGAGTTCAAGCCCTGTGTTAGGCTCTGTGCTGAGAGCTCCGAGCCTGGAGCCTGCTTTGAATTATGTCTCCCTCTCTCTCTTGATCCCTCCCCCACTATCTCTCTCTCTCTCTAAATTAATAAGTAAAAAATTTTTAATGGAATGAACAGAAGATGATAAAAGGATTCATTACCAAGGGCAATATTCAAAAGTGGCACAGAAGTATAAGAATAATGCCAAAGCAAGGAAAAGTATAAAGTGAACTCAAGATTGAGGGGAAATAGAACAATAAACTGGGCTTGCATTTGAGTTGTATTTTGAGAAAAATGAAAGCATGAGAGACACAAGTTTTCAGACCTTCAAAAATGATGCCATAATAATAAGGAACAGAGAGAAGTTTGATTTCTACAAATGCAATTTTCCTTTCTTCCTTGTAAAAGTAGAGTGAGCTCTAGCCAGGAAAGGCAGAAGAGCAGACTTAATAAAGAACCTCCTAACTCTTCTAAAATGTGTCCAAATGAGACCTGTACATACTATTTCTAAGTATAATTTCAGAATATGCCTTGAGACTGCTACATCTGTGGTCAGCCATCTTTGAGAAATCAAGACAAACAAGAGAAATGCTGTCAGATTGATAGAGGGCAAATATATCCCTGACCTTCCAAACATGGCAAGAAGTAGATATTGTAAATGATGGATCTGCTGATCACCCTCAACTACATTCTAGAACAAATTACTAAAATCACAGACTATGAACACTTTAAAAGGGAACAGTGTGTAATGTGAATTATGATTAGGTCATAGGAAACAAGTCCTACCAGAACTAACTCATTTCTGGTTTTGTATGTTTATTAGGTTAGGCAGTTCCTTATTTCTATGTATTTTTAGAAGAAATTTGACAAAGCTTTTAAAGATACCTTCCTGAACAAAAAGTGAAGAAATGTGGATATAATAGATTTATTGTTATTTTTACCTAAATTATCCTGATTAACAGATTGATGTCATACTTGGAGAAGAGTCTCATCCTACGCTCTATGAAATAGGGGAATTATTTTCTCAGTGAATTCGATGAAAAAATTGATGGCATACTGGTAGGTAACACTAAGTTAGAAGCAGCAGTCAACCGCTGGATAGCAGGCTTCTGGATCTTGATCCCAAAGGAAAGAAAATGGGCCCAAATGAATCAAGTTAGGAAAAAAAATACAGAGTACAAATGGGAGAGAAATAATTATCAGGAGCATGTGTGGAAAAAGAGTTAAGGATTTTAGTTAGGTTCAATATAAGAAAAAGAAGTGTAATGGAGGTGATGGGCTCATAGACTATGTTAATTACAGCAGTAGTATAGTAGCGAGGAGCCATTTCCTGCAGTGGCTGGTCCATGGTGTCAAATATTACAGAGAAATCCAAGAAAATGAGTTCTGAGGTTTACACTGAAGTGGTAAGGAGGTCAATATTGACTTTGAAGAGAGTGATTTCAGCTAAATAATTAGGGTAGGTGCCAAAAACAAAGAGTTCTGACAAGTGAAAAGGGTGTGAGCAAAAGTAAGCTACCGATTTGACAGCTTTGATTGGTAAAGAAAATAGCTTTTAAATAGAGAAGATAAACTAACACTGGATTAATGCTATGTTCTCTGGTTTTAGAAAACCTTGATAATTTTACACAACTTAAAGCAAAAAACCACAAACTATAATTAAAACTGAAGAGTCTCCTTAGTCTCCTTAGATTATACAGTTCCAGCTGTGCCTTGCCTCTAATAATCAATACATTTTTATATTTTATTTTAATTTTACATTTACTATATAAACAAATAGAGAAAGACTATCTTTGGGGTAATACAGATAGCAAAATGTGGTTTATCAGAATTATTAGGCTCATAAAAAGAAGAAAGGACTCTAAACTGTGAGGAACTGCAGAATAAAACACAATTTTCTGCAGAACCTGAATCAGCTCTGCTCTAAAAAGCAACCTCTGTAAGGAGACCTGGAGCTACAGAAGTCAAGAAAGATCTCAGGTAATCGCAAAGAGGAGGACAAGAAATAGAGGCAGGATGAAGATGGTGCCTAAACCAGTCTAGACTACAAGCTTCATAACTTCCTAGAAAGGAAGGAGTGGTACTTAATACCAGAAACATGATGTGTTTTTGTAGTTTAATTATTTGTAGTTGTTGTGTGGATATATTTCTTTAAACACATAAGGTCTACAGCTACACCATTAAAAAAGAAAAAAAGGAAGAAAAGGAAAACTCAAGAGCAGCCTGCACTTAGAAACAAGTAGTCCATATCCTAGGAGCAAAGCACAGGATCCTTCTCATGGCCCCACACCAAAATGACAGATTCTGTGTTTCTGAAAGGTGAAGAAGTCTTCTGGAAAAATCAACTGCCAAACACATGGATGAAATTAAGCAAATGTCAAATTGGTACATTAAACTGTATTTCTTTGCTTGTTTAGCATCTCAAAGAGCTCACAATTTACAAGTAGTTCTCAACTTACCAAGATGCTGTTTTCTAAAAGTTAGTTGGCAAATCAGTTGTATGACAGCATAGTATTGTGGTTCTGAGTAGAGGCAGACTTCCCAGTTCAAATCCTAACCCCACCACCTACTTAATTCACTGACTGAGCCTCTATATCTGTAAAATGGGATACCTACTCAAAGGATTGTTCTTTTCTGACTAATGAGTTATCACATTGAATGTTTTTCCAGTCATTCCTGGCACATAGTGAGTAT